GGGGAGGGAGGGGGGGTGGGAGGGGGTGGGTTTTTTGGGGGGGGGGGGGTGGGGGGGGGGGACTCCATCATTAAAGAAAAGGTGACATTCTGCAGAATGAAAGGAAGTGGAGATGAGAGACGGAGATAAGAGAGACTTGAGAGGCGCGGGGGAAGCAGCAGCAAATCACAGGAGAGTGAATTCCTCAGAAGAATGTTCAGATCCAGGTCTGACGCTCCGTGTGTTTCTGGGATTCCTGTTGGAACGCTGGAACAGGTGGAATCTTAGTTCCGTCAGTCAGATTTAATGTCATATAAAAACACGATGAAGATCCGTGAACCACGTGGGCAGCCTCAGCCTTCTAGCAACAGGACGGAGTTTGGGTTTGAATCCCACGACCACAGGGGTCATGGGTAGGAGTGTTGAACCGCTGTCGGTTTGGTGGGCCGCGTGGTCGGACAATTCCTGGGGCTATACTGCCCCCAGGATTTCTGGTGGTACTGCGCCTTTTCATCAGACACTTTTCTGAACGGTTACAAATTATTTACATAACGAACGAAGAAGAAGACGGACGAAAGACGGACGAAAGACAGATGAACATAACGAACGAAGAAGAAGACGGACGAAAGACGGACGAAAGACGGATGAAAGACGGACGAAAGGCTCAGTGTCGTTTTTAGGGCTGAGTATTAGCCCGGCTTAGTGCAGAACACAGCGTTTTTCTGTCTTTGTAAAAATATGTACGATGACAATAAAGTATCTTCTTAATCTTCCGTTAATTCCATACAAAAAAAAGTCTGAACTGAGGATCGGAAAAATCCACGGGTGAAAATAATCCTCCGCAGCTTAAGAAGCTAATTAAGATATGCTAATCAAAAGTAGTTTGATTTGGTAAACACTGAGAGTCTCCCACCGTACGGAGATACGGGCCGGACTGATGGTTCTCAAACTGTGGTTGGTTCATACGAGCCGCCTTTACTGTGGGACGCAGGTGAATCACTGACAGCGTGTGTTTGAATATTTATAGATGAAGTATATTCTGTTCTGGCAGTACTGACCTGAAGGCTGCGTACAACAGAACAGACAAATATGCTAATTCAAAATGCTAATTTGTCATTGATACTGCAATACTGATAACTCTCTCCAGGGGGCACACATTGTAATGTGTATTATTATGTAATACAGTATATATTAGGAGGTGTCAACGTGTACATTTAAATGTAAGTCGGAAAAATATGGAAATTTAATTCCGATGTGAGTACGATGTGAATTCTCGAGGTACTGGGAGAGACAAAGACTTCAACGCCGTGAGAACATCATTATTAAAGGCTCCGTGGCACAAAACTGCGTGAATCCCATAATTCATTGATATTCAGGAGGCGTCGTGACGAGCAGCGAGTTCCTCACATCAGTATTAACTGTTAAAAACCGACAGAAACGGCAGCGGTGTTTATCTACGCACACCAAATCACGACTCTGAAGGAAGGAGATCAGATCAGAGTTCA